GGAGTACACGCCCGGGGATGCCGTCTGGACCCGTGGCTTTGGCGGGGTGGAGTTGCCTCAGCTTCCGCTCAACCGTGCTTGGCCGAAAGTGGACATTGCGGAGTTGAGCTTGAGATCGGGGGCGGACTGGAGGGAGGCTGTTGGCTTGCAAGTCGTTGTCACCAAGACTGCACTTTGCGGAGAAATACTGCCCGAATGCTTCGGCCTTTTCGCTGCAGGTGGTGTGCTCAGTTCCGTTCGACGCACGCAGAACAGGTATGTCTGCAGAGCGGTGTCCTTGCCCACCTGCTCGCTTGACGGTCGTCCACCATTGTCGGCTGGAAAGGGCACCTTCTCTTATCTTTCGGCGGATACTGGTAGTGTGCGCTTGCTTGGCTCTGTGCAGACAGTTTGTTGCTTCACCTGTTGCCATAGAGTAGGCCAGCCGCAGGTGTGCATCGTTGGGCGAAGATCGGTGACGTCGCCAGGCACGTTGCTTCCTGTCAACAGCTTCCTGGCACTCAGGTGACCACCAGGCTGGGTCTCCCTGGCGTAGCTTCAGGGTTTTGGATGGAATGAATATCTGCATGCCCTCTTTGATCTTCTGTGTGAGTTTCACACAAGAGACGTCAATGCTGTTGTCATCAGTCAACACCCAGTTTGTGGACCGAAAGAAAGCCCGTAGCCGAGGCCAGTCAGCATGCTGGTAGCGCCACACGGTTCGCTTACTGGGACGGTCACAGGAGGGGGCAACTTCAAAGTCAGTTACCACAACTGCGTGGTCAGATTTCCCTTGAGGTGGATGGAGACTTGAGATGACGCTTCCAGCACATGCTTCCGTAAAGACAGATCTACACATAAGAACCTGAGATCAAACCTACGTAGCTATGGTGGCGTAACCATTCTCATACGTGATGGGACATTTTCACATTGCACCCGTCGCCATGACCTTGATTCTCCCCAAAGCGAGGCCTTATGAATTGAGCTTGGTGCACCTGCAGGTCTCCGGGCCAATCTGCTACTCATTTGCTGTCATTATCGCCCCCCCCCCCCCCTTCACAATCCCTTCTTGATCTCACCTCCTTTTGCGACATACTTACCGACACGCTGTGTTCCTTGGACCTCTCTTTATTTGATGTTTTTCTTACTGGTGACTACAATGCCCACAATTCTGACTGATGGAGTGGTGACACCACATCGCGTGCTGGTACGGAGCTATCACACGTGTTCTCTAGCTTTGGCCTCCAGCAGCTTGTCAATTTCCCCACCCGTGTCGCTCCGAATGGAAGACTGTCCTGTCTGGACTTGCTTGCTACGAACCGCCCCCTCTCTGTACGCTCTGTTGACGATGCTGCCCCGCTTGCTGCATCGGATCATTTGCAAGTCATTACAACGCTAGCCTACAACATTGCCACTGCTAACAAAAATCCAACCCTACAGCATCACTTCCTCCCAACATCTACCCCTACACCCCCAGGTTACAATTTCAAGTTGGTGCCACGTTGCGTATGGGATGACCTGAATGCTGAACTTGCTGATGTCCACTGGAAATGTCACCTCCGCAGCTCGCACGTGGATGACGCTCGTTCGTCTTTCCACTCTATTCTGAGCAGGGCCATGGAGAAGCACCTCGGGTACTTCTCCCGGCGTCCACTCTCCCCCTCATGCCGACGTTTAGGTCAGCCACCTTGGGTTGATGCCCCCTCCGTGCCGCCATTAAGGCAAAGCACGATTTCTACAGTGTGTGTAAGAAATACCCAACCCAGCTTAACATGCATGTATATCGATCTCAACGGAACTTGGTGAAGAGTCTGACTCGATCGAAATACCGGGGATACATTCGGTCCGTATAAGCTACGCTGCAGGACAAAAACCGCCCATCACTGTTTCAGTTCGTGAACAAATTAAAAAATCATAAAGTATCTCGTGACATCCCGACACTCACCATTAGTTCTACGCGGCAGGCTACTACCTCTTCAGCTAAAGCCACTGCATTGAACTCTCAGTTCGCCTCAGTGGCCGTGCCTGATGACCCTTCTCTACCCATTTCCCCCATTGCCGAGGAGTCGGGTGAGGCTGACCGCCTCACATCTGTCTTTACTACGACTGCTGCCATCCGACGTTACATTCGAAAGCTCCCGTCTGACAAGGCGCCAGGCCCAGACGGCATCACTAATCTGGTATTAAGTCACTTGCGCCCTCAATAGCATACCCCTTATGTCTGATTTTCAACCTATCATGCACTGGTCGTTTTCCCTCTGCATGGAAAACAGCTGTTATACCGATCTACAAGAAAGGGTCCCCCCACGAAGCATCAAACTACCGTCCGATATCTCTACTGTCCTGTGTTTCCAAACTCTGTGAGCGCGTTTTCTACGACCAATTGTACTGTCATGTCTCGTCACGTTTGAGTTCAGCTCAGTCCGGATTTCGCAGAGGCGATTCTACCACCCTCCAGCTGACGCGCCTAGTGCAATTAGTGTGTCGACATCGGGATGCTGGAGATCTAGTCGGGATCTGTTTTTTCGATCTTGCCAAGGCCTTCGATACCGTCTGGCACGGGGGGGGGGGGGGGCTTTTGGCCAAGCTTCATGGATCATTTACTGTAGACGGCAATCCCCTGCTATGGCTGACATCTTACCTAACTGGGCGAACGCAGTACGTCACGGTACATGGGAAGTCCTCAGCCGGCACAACAGTACTATCCGGAGTTCCCAGGGTTCCATCCTCGGCCCCCTTCTTTTTATCTTATACGTCAATGATCTGCCCGCAGCTGGCCCGGGCACATCACTGTTCGCAGACGACACAACGCTCCTACGGGCATCTCCTAACATCACTGGCCTGATGAGTAACCTAGCTAACGGGATTCAAAGAGTAATTTCCTGGATGTCATCTTGGCGGTTATCGCCCAATCTGTCTAAAACTAAAATCATGCTTTTTCCTTCTCAGCCCGATGTTCTGCCCCTCCTCCATCCCACTTTCCCCCAGCCTATAGACATAGTCTCCAGCCATAAGCATCTTGGCATTTTCATTGACTCTAACCTTTCATGGGAACCCCACATCGATTACATATGTAAACGATCAAGTTCATCTTTAGGAATCCTCTCTTCTCCCTGTTACCATCTCCCAATCTCTTGTAAACTCCTCTTTTACTCAGCTTACCTACGCCACATTTTTGATTCTGCAGACACTGCTTGGGCTGGAATTTCCACAACCCGTGCTGCCAAGCTCGAAATTCACCACAAAAAAGTTCTCAAAATCCTCCTCCGAAAACCCCGCATGCTCCCATCTTCCACCCTTTATGCCCTTGCTGACACTACCCCTTTGTCTAAGAGACGTAATTCACATCTTGTCACCCTTATCCATTCTCTCAAACTCAATCTGGGTCCACCTCACCTCCACTGTTTCAACTGGTTCTCTTCCCGTAGCACGAGTAACTCCCTTTCCCTTCCGAAACCTAAGTCCTCCTTTCTACTTCACTCTCCCTTTTTCACTGCGTACTCTGCGTGGCTGGCACTTCCCCAAGAAGCTAAGGACCTTTCTTCCCTCCGCCTTTTTAAGATCCTTGTCGCACCTTGACTTTGATTTTGTGTTTCTCATTTTGTTGCAATCACTGCTTATCCATGCCGGTTCCTTTTTTCCTCTCCTCCCCTTCTCCCTTCCTTGCCGTGGTTGGCTAACACCCTCTCTCTTTGTATTGGCCGGTGTTCTCACTGTGCTATGAGATGCTGTAATAAATAAATAAAAAATACTTGGTCAGTATAGGAAATAAAAACCTCGTAAAAGACCTCGGCTTCGCCTCGGTCTTTTACTCGGCTTTTATTTCCTATATTGACCTTGTTATCGTTTTGGAATTTGAAATACGGACTGTTTGTCGTGATAAACTAATATTGACTTCGTACTTGGTCAGTATAGGAAAAAAACCTCGTAAAACTTAAAAAGACCTCGGCTTCGCCTCGGTCTTTTACTCGGCTTTTATTTCCTATATTGACATCGTACTCAGTCAATATTAGATACGTACATGAGTAGTCAGCACTACATGTACATGTATGTACAAGTACATAATAAAAATACAGTCACTGTACTAGTATTAGTAAGTACAGGTCGATTGGACAAGTAATAGTATGACAGGCTACATGTATGTCAAGCAACCCAGGCCAGGCCAGGGGATAGGGGATAGGGGAACAGATGAGTACTCGAGTGCTGATCGTCTTGAGTGATGGGTGCTTGACGTTTTGACAGTTTAGATTGAGTGTCAGTTTAGAAGCATCTTTAGACTTAAAAAATCTTCGGTCTTTCTGATTGATTGTTGTCACAAAAAATGTCAGACGAACACACTACCCACACGTACACGTGCACATCGCTAGCCTACGCGTTCACTGATGGCACCGTACCGGTCCGTGGACCTGGTGTAGTGGTAGATGATCTACATTATGGTTCACATGGTTCAAGGTCAAGGATCAGGCAAGGACGTCTATTTGACTAGTTTTGTAGGTCAAAGACAAAGATCCTCACGTGCAGTGAACGACATCGACAGTGCAGTGAACGACATCGACAGCGCAGCTACAACTATTACTTACACAGTACAAGTAGCTCCGTTCTGGCACTACTACCAGTACATGTACTGGTGATCGTTTTCACACTGCTTTTTTACTAAAACTAAAAGACAAAAACGTCTTTGTCAGCTGTCTGTACTGTCTAGTGTGCTGTGTGTAGTGTAAAGTGTAAGACAGTGTAGTCTACACTGTAGATCTACAACTCCCTGGTGTAACACTGGTAACTGCACCGGTATCACTTTCACTGACTGTCGGCACGGGTCGGTGCATGTGTCACTGCCAAGTGCAGAGTGAGTCTACCGACGAGTCGGTAGATCTAGAGGGTCTACTACTGACCCCGTCCCAGGCCATGCAGGGTAGGCCTTATCAATATCATGATATCAGAGACAACACGATCTCGATGCAGGAGTCAAGCATTGAAGCAAGCGCGCGAATTAGTTATGACTGCTGCCAGTGCTGGGCCATGCCATGGCCTGGGTAGCCGAAACCGATGTCTGCTAAAAATCTAAAAAAAATTTTTTTTTAAATATTTCGAAAGGTTTCTACTTTCTAGAGGCTGGGACGAGGATTATAATTAAAAAAAACAGACAGCAGAGAGTCTAGTTTGAATGATGGTTCGTGTGAGGAGGTAGCATGAAGATTTTTCAGCCAGGCAGACCTAAAACATCGCTCATGGCCAACAAGTATTTTCTGTAGTAGGTCTACATCTGTCGTTCTCTCCTTCGTGGAGCTGTGTATGCCTTCAAGTTACACAAACCTGGCGATCGCCAAACCTGCCAGTGACACTGTTCAGTGTTCTACCGATCTGTGGCAATGCTAATGATTGTGAATTTGTGGCAGTGATTTCGTGTCTTGGTAGGGAAAGGATCGGTAACGCCATTCGGGACCTGGCGCTTGTACAAAGCGTTGGAAGTGCCGGCATTTCCCCCTCAAACTGATGAATGGATCCTGGTGCGCCAGTAGTGGCAGTACGGCATTAGCTCAGGACAGTAGTACTAGCAGATCTCCTGGTTGCATTTAGCGGAAACCACGGCTGTTCACAACTAGAGGACACCTGGGTGGACGTGCAATTTCCGAGTTCTGCTGGCCACTTGTTCATCCGGTAGAGAAAGTTGTGCATCTGCCCAGTGTTTGTTTGAGCACGGGCTAAGAGTAAGAGAGTGCTCGGATTCGAGCTGCTGCTGTCACTATCGCCAAGCACGAGAACCTGCCAGTAGCGCTGTCTTGTGCCCAGTATCCACCGTTACTAGGAGGTGACTGCATATTGTTAGGATCACTCAAAGCAAAGCTGACTTGTAGGTCGGTCCGGTCAGTTTTATCTTCACATCACTTCAGCAACTCAGCAACGCAACAGGTTGGCTTGCAGGTTTTGGTGGGAGTGTAAGCCGTCCTCACCCATCCTGAGTAACTGCACTTGACTGCTAAGTACTGGCTCAATCTGTGCTTTTCAGAATGGAGAATGGAAGTTTACCAATGTGGCTGACAGTGTTTCTACTTGTTAGCTCGTATGCAGTGCCGTCGTTGTATGGGCAAAGAAGTGGAGTCACTGGAGATGACTTCATGTCCTGGCAAGGCCCATGCAGTCTAACACCTGGTGCTGACATATGCTCCAGCAGCAGCACTATCGCACTGGGTGGTCTGTTCCCTATACACGGCAATAACGGAAATAGTGCATCAACTGAGGAGAGCCTATGCGATGACGACATCCAGGTGTCTGGCTTTGAGCGGATGGAGGCAATGCGTTTCGCAATTGACGAAATCAATAAGCGCCGGGATATCTTGCCCGGGATTCTTCTGGCTTACGAAATGCGTGATACATGCCTCACTCCAGACCACACCAATCAGCAGACGGTGAGATTTGTACAGCGCGAGGATACCAGTCAGTGCACTACAGGCCTCATCCCAATCAGCGGTGTAGTTGGAGCAGCATCCAGCGGCCCATCCATTGCAGCTGCTGATCTGCTACGCATATTTCACATCCCGCAGATTAGTTATGCCAGTACGTCAGCAACCCTGTCAGAGGATCGCTATCGCTTCTTTCTGCGTACTGTGCCACCAGACATATTCCAAGCTAAGGCCATTGTGGGTATCTCTCATGCGCTGGGTATTCAGTACCCGGGTGTTGTCAGTACTGAAGGGGCGTATGGTCGTGATGGTGCTGCAGAGGTTGTACGTGAGCTGCAGGCCAGACAGAGTGCGTGTGTTGCTGCTAACTCTGATCTAGGCGTCAACAAGGCCAATGACGATGGTTCAGCTGACTCTAGGTACGAAAGTGTCCTCACCGACCTGACGGATACTCTCAGCAAGAACTCATCAGCCACGGTAGCATTTAGTGGTCGTGATGCAACCCTGGCCTTCATGCGCTACGTTGCTCAGGAACAGAGTTCACAGTCTCCGAGGCTGCCGGAAAAATTCACCTGGTTTGCAACGGACTCCTGGATAGAAGATGATCAGTTCACAAAAGAGGATGCTATCAATGCAACACGAGGAACACTGGGCGTAGCACCCACGAGCAGTATCGTGGACCGGTTTAGACAGCATTTTCTAAGCCTCAACCCAAGGGCCAATATTGGCCGTAGCCGCAATCCATGGCTGTCAGAGTTCTGGAATAAAACATTCGGCTGCAATCCTGATGCTTGCAATATCAGCCAAGCACCATCAGCCACAGACTATTGTGTGCAGTGCTTGAATAATTCACTTCGCGACTCGCCTAGCTTTGCCTACTCGCAGAACTCAAAGATACCATTTGTCATCGATGCTGTGTACGCATTTGCCAGGGCACTGGATAGCATGCAACGTCAGCTGTGCGGTGCTGGTACTCAGGGCTTATGTAAAGGCATGATGGCATTGGAGCAGAGCAGAACGGGTGCTGTGAATGGCGATGCTCTCCTGATCTACTTGAAGAATCTGACATTTACCGGTGAAGGTAACAGTACAGTTGCGTTTGACAGTGCTGGTGACTTGGAGAGCGCAGTGTATAATGTCTACAATATTCAAAAAGTGAATGAGAAAGGCATGCGGCGTATCGTTGGTACCTGGGAGCAGTTGCCACATGATCACATAGGCCCACTGAGGAATACTATCAGTGCAGCAGGAAACTTCGACATCATTGCTTGCAGCGATCCGACTAAGAATGAGTCGACGTGTTCCAGAAGTCGATTGACTTTGAACGCGTCCCGTATTGAGTGGAGAGATGGTACGTGGGGATATGTGGCTAGACCAGTATCACGCTGCAGTGCGCTGTGTTCACCTGGATTCCAAGCATTGCCAATCCCATCATTTCCCCGCTCTCTCTACCCGCTATGTTGCTGGCAATGCCAAAGTTGTAGTGCAAACATGTACGTACGCACTCAACGGGACACATGTCAACTATGCCCGGATCACCAGTACATCAATAGAAACAGATCGGGATGTGTAGATCTGGAAAAGGACTACTTCAGCATCAATGATAGGTCGGCCATTGCATGTATCATTGTAGCCAGTATAGGCCTGGCGTTGGTTGTCATCGCCCTCCCAGTCATCGTCTTCGTGATGGATATTCTCCATGAAAACTCTGCTCTGCGCTTCTTCAGTATGCTGAGCAGTGCACTGGGTGCAGCAGCCATATACATTCTTGTCTTCATCAATCTCGCTCCACCTAGCTCAGCTACGTGTACTTTACGCGCTGCATGGTCACCTATAGCCATGTCCTTTCTTCTCCTCCCGTTTCTCATGGAACTCATTGATATCTTCTTTGCTATACGGCGCGAGAAATATATTGCATCAGTTGACGCAGAAGTGGATGCAAAGGATGTCAAGCCTGCAGATGATGACGTTATTGAACTTCCGGCAGTGACTATTCCCAGTGTCCGCCGCAGTGTTGGCAATGCCAATGATGGGACAGCTGCACCTAGTGACACTACTATTAGTAAGGCTGTCTCTAATGATGCAAGCCCTGGGCAGATAAAGGAGACTCCACGCAGAAGATCACTGTTCAGCAGAAAAGGCAGTGTGTTTGAGAATGACTATCTAACATTCTGGGTATTTCTCAGCACTCTCCTGGCTATCATTATCATTGTGGCGCTGTGCTTGGCTATTGATGAGCCAAGACAGCTGGATGATGTTATTCCCAATGAGAAATGGTTCTCTGGATGCTCAGTATCTGCTGCAGTTATCGCCACACTGGTTCTCACCATGGTGATGATAGCCAGCATCGTTGCATTGCGCTTCTATTTTCTGGTTATCGGAGAATTTGTGCCATGGACGTTGCGCATGGCAGCATTCATGGCAATTGCAGTTTCTTTGCTGGTGGTGTGCTTGCTGATTGTCTACACACAGCTGTCGGGAGCTGTCATCAGGGAAGCCATGATACTCTTGTGTCATCTTGCCATCGCACTCGCCGTCAACGTCTTGCTGGTCATGGATTTGATGCGAACGCTAGCACCGGATTCGGGCAGCAAACCAGAACCTGGTCGCCTGGCTCCATCGGCCCAGCAGACCGCTCCCGACGGTGTACACAAGCAAGTAATAGCCACACTGTCCCAGCGTAGCCTATTGAATGCAGAGCAGCGACGGAATCGTAAGGTCAGCCATGACATTGCTCTGCACAGTCAGTCTCAGCGCCAGCCCCAGTTACAGCGTTACTGGACAGCTGACAGTGGTAATGAATCTCAAGCGCAGTCTAAACCAGCCAGTTATCTTGTACCCCCTCTAGCTGCTGCAAGCCAACACTCTCAATCCGCCAGTGGGCTCTCAGCCTCTGAATCAGGCTTCTGCGAGAGACCAGAAGCCGCAAGCCGCAAGGATGTGTCTGCTGCTGGACAAGAGGGCACTACGCCGCAACAAGTGACGTCTTACATAGTCGATCAGGGTGACTTATGCCTCGATGCTGTTGCCACTAGAGCCGGACAAGCTGAAGTCGATGCTAGTCAGAATGGAGGTGAGAGTCCGGATGTAACTGCTAAAAATCGAGTAGGCTGTGGATCTATTGTAGGCAGTATAGCTATGCCACAAACATTGCAATCAGACAGCAGTGATAGTCTGGTCCCCCACCAAGAAACCGTTCTATAATAGTATGTCAAAGTTTACTTGGATCAGATAGTACAAAGGCTAATCGCCCGTCTACATTGTACTCTTTATATCTTCAGTACAGACCCTCCCTCATTTTTTTTCAAGCGGCCGTTATCAATTACGCCTATATCCCTGAGCTCCATCTCTTTACACCGAAGCCTAGCAGGATTAGCCCAGCACCAAATCAGAAATGCAGACATTTACAGCTACACAATCCTCAGTAATAGCCTCAACTCGCAATCTGCTTCAAGTTTCTTCAAGTCTAGCATAGAACACATTTACATTGTCCCGAGAACACCGCTGCACATTTGAAAGGGAAAGTTTAATTTTTGGATGTCCATGCTTCAGTCTGGTGTTATCAGTCATGGCCCTCGCACAGTTCAAGTTTTTTTAAACATAGCAGGAACGATTTTAGCATTTATGGCATAAAGTGAAGACCCATTGTTCACTGGCTCCTGGTGGTGACAGTCTATCATTTTGCTTAGACTTGTCCTTTTTCACCTCCCTCAAACTTATGATTTTACTCTATTGTTTCTAGATTTTTTTTACTTATTTCCTGGCCATTTGTGAAAACATTTGAATCCTTCTTTCTACTCAGTTACTCACTGTACCAGCGCTTTGGCCGAGTGGTTGTGGGCTTGCCTGCGAATCACAAGGTCCCAAGTTCGAGACCCGCGCTGGGAGCAGGGACAGCGTACTGTGCTAACAAATGCGGTGATGCATGCGTGAACCACTATACATGCAAAGAACTGCACCCATGGTCAACTGGGTACTCACTACTCGGAGTGAAAGTAACATGGATGCAGCTAACGAGGTTCGCCCCCTTTTAGGACATTGGTTGTGAGAGTTACCACCTCACCCTCACCGTTAGGTGCTGCATCTGCCACCCTGGTATCACAGGCATGGTGGTGGCCTGGCACGAGCAAAACTTCCTAAGCTGGTTGTGTTTCTCAACGCAATTGTATAGCCGGTGGTAACGCGGACGTGCAAACTTTACTTTACTCACTGTTCTATGCACTATGGTCTTCAAGGAGTGACATTGGGTAAATAATACTAAACATGGATTGTCTTCACACGGGATACCAGTCACAGATTGTAACTGACTGGAGTCTCATTGAATTCCAAGTAACGAATTGCAAAAAGGTATATTTTTAGTGTAAGGGGGGGGGGGGGGATGTGCCACCATGCATGTGCATGTTGAACAATCATTTTCCATTAGGTATGGACTTTTGCATAAGTTACTTTTTTAGTCTTAAAAGTCACTTGTACCTGTTTATCATGTTGGCTGAACTTCAGTATAAGCAGAACGTTTTTTGCCCAAGGAGCTTTCGGAATATATTACATGCCAGGATATAATGTGAATTAATTGTCCAGATGTTCACCATGTTGTCAGTCCGTGGACAACATATTTTGACCAGACAAATCGCCTTTCTTTAAAGTAGGACGAAATTCATATTCACAGACTAAATTTTCTGCTTTTACAGAGTACAGGCGTTAGGCGACGCCTGATGGGACGAACACCATTGTGCAGGATAATTAGTTCTTTATAGCCGAAGTTCCCCCCCCCCCCCCCCCAATACACTCACACTATACAAGCAACACGCTACGGCTGGCATGTGCCCCATTACAGTATAGGGCGGTGCTTGGTTTGCATGCAGCCCTAAGAGGTATGGTTCGTGATACACGACAACTGTTCGCTATAAAGGGTCCATTTGAATGGGTTCAAACAAGGACAAGGACATTGGTTCGCTACGTCACGAAATTTGCTATATCCAAGTTTGTGATAAGTGGAGTCGACTGTAGTTAGGCCATGCGGCTATGATGAGATCAATGTTCAGGTAGGCCAAGTGAAATCCAGGTTTATGTATACTTTCAGAGCCGATAGCAAAGGTTGGTGATTTCAGGTACATGATTTTTAAATCATGTACCTGGAATAAAAAGAAGCAATGGGGACGTCGGGACGGAGTGACCGGCTTCTGTCCTGCAAAGACATGCACAGTCATGTACAGGGGTTTGGGTTTCACTTACCTGCATAGTGAAAGTATGCGTGTGTATGAACACAGCGTGTGTGCGCGCTCAAATGTTGTATATAACACCCGATATCTGCAGCAGTGCTTGCAGCTGGACAGTGGTGCTGTTGGGCACCGAATAGCAGCCAGACCAAAACAGTTAATTTCACCCAAAAAAGGAACATGCCAGGCTGCCTGTAGTGTCGTTAGTGTGCAAGCTTTAAGAACCCGTGCCACTGCACAGTATTCACGTACTGTACACTGCACAGTATTCACGTACTGTACACTGCACAGTAGGAATGTAGTAGGAATCATCACAATCTTCAGAACATTCAAGCAAAGGACAAACAGTAATAACATTAGCCACAGTATTAAACACATACAGGGAGCTGACACAAGACAAAAACACCCGAAAACAAAGTTTGTTTCGAAACCCAGGTTGTGCAAGTTCCAGGTGACAATGCATGGTCAGAGCGGCAACACACAGTCACAGTCCAGGGTGCTATGTACCTACGGTCTAAAAACATGCTGGCACATACCAGCAGTTGCATACACATCAAAGCATGTGCATGAATAGACCTTGCCTCAGCGAGACTGGAACAGACAATATGCGGTAGTGAAGCCCACACTGTTCCATGTTCCACCAGTTCGTGAAATACATGTATCCTTAGATGGGACAACTCCTTGATCTACACACATACACACACGCATATACACACACATACACACACGCATATACACACGCATACACACACGCACATACACACACACACACACACAGAGACACGCATCCGCGCGCACGCGCACGCCACACACACACACACACACACACACACACACACACGAATACATGAGCATGTTTGCTGGTGCACACTCACATGTGTGGGTTGATGAGGTTGACAGAATC